ACCCCCCACACACACACACACACAAAAAAAGACCTGTTACAGTTGTTTCTAAAGCGAGGAGGAATTTGGCCAGCAGTCGCGCTAATGTCTCCAAGATGACTTTGACTGTTAGAAGGAAATCCCCCTCCTTAGTAGCCACTTTGAATGCCTCCTGCGTTTTATTGTGAGGAAGTAGGCGCTGGGTTTAGTCAGCGGCCCTCCCGGGTAGCGTGTGCAGTCCGTCTGGGGCCGCCGGTGCGTACAGTTGGCCAATCCGGATCCAGTTTGCCGGTGTTGGTGCTGGTAAAGGGTCAGAGAACTCAGCCCTTTGTTTATGAGTGAATATGTGTGCGGAAAGTCTGGCTGGCTTCTTCTCGGGCGTCTGAATTCCTGGGCAGAACATGGAGCTTCATCGGTAGGAAAGTCTGATGAGAAAGACGCATCCGCTCGATATGTTCTCGCTCGGTGAGTTGACTTTGATATTTCTCCTTCGCCTCGGTCGTTTCATGTTCTTTCCTGCTCAAGTTGAAAGACCCAAACCAGGCCAAATATTCCATACTATTAGTAAAGATAATCAGTTACCAGCAGCAGTACAGTAAGAGTATAGCAACAAGTAGCTGCTGGATCTTTATGAGAACTCGTTGGGTAGTTAATATTTCTGGTTTTCCTTTTGATCATCTCTCAACTCTTGCAGATTGACTTAATTTAAAGGAAAACGGGTGGTGGTTGTGTTGTCATTGGACACGAAAAAGGGAGAATACATGAGCTGCGATTGATAAGTCTTGTTAAGAGCTACATCTGGCGCTGGTCGCTGACCGTGCAACCTCTGCCCGCCTGCTCACTGACATCTTCAGTGTGTGTCTCTCCTGGCGTTTTGTCTTCCTTTATCCTTCCCTCTCTGGCGCCGGCGGATCACTGAGCTGTGGAGAAAAGGTTGATGTAGTCAAACCTGATTTTTTTTTTCTTCCCTTTTCGTCTCCACTTGTCACCATCGTTCTCCTCTCTCGTCGGCTGTCTGGTGTCCTTGTCTAGACGGCACGTCCATCCGTCCCTTCAGGGTGCCGTCAGCAGAGAGGACAAAGAGCTGCGGACATTTCTGGCTCGTTTGTCAAGAGCAAACAGGAAGATGCGATGCATGCTGTAAAGTACTTGTACTTCTCTTAGACAATAGCTACAGTCAAAGATCTGTTCTGTTGTGTGTGTGTGTGTGTGATCTGGTGTGTGTTACTCAAAGAGGAAATTTCGATCCGTCTCCCAGCACAGAACGAACAAGGTGCTGTTGGTCGGCTCCCTTTTGTTTATTAGCTTTCTTTCTATCACTGCTTGGCCCACGTGAATCCCTCTACATCCACTTAACATACAACACCTTGTTGAGACACTGAACAACTACTCATCGCTGATAGAATAAGTAGGAGGCCTGCAGCTTAATTATGGGAAACAGTTTGCAAAAGTGTGACTGTGTGTCTGTGTGCGCTGCACAGGTTGGCTGAGGCAGTTTGGAGAGGCTGTTGTTGCCGAGCATCACAATGACCGACCGCATCTGCCCACTGCTGCTGTAATGGCTACGCTTGCTGCCTCGAGCGCTGTTTCTCTTTAGTTACCATGACAACTGGGCCTCCATTCTCACCGCTCCGCCTCCCCGCCTGCACGCTGCTAACTCCGCGCAGTGCACGGGGGCCTCTGCCCGGGCCCACATTACTGCGCGTTGCATGCAATGTGTTTTTTGAGTCGCTGCGCACAAACCGGACTCCCTCGCCCAACACACCCACGCTGGAGTGTGGGTGGAGTAGCACTTAACACGTCCACCTCCACAGGATATTTGTATGTTTGTTTCTGTGCTTGTACATTTGAACCCATTTGAGCACAGCTGTGCCAGTGAGGGTGTCAGGGTGGAATGTTTAGATGTTAGAGAGAGGGAGCCCCCCCCCCCATCCCAATGCTCTGCTCTCCTTTAATTCTCTAATAGGATTAATCTTCATCGCTGTCAGGGACCGTGGCTGATTAGGATGCACATGACCCGATTTTCTTAAGAGCCGTGCAAGTGCACTGCTGGCACCACTTAAGGACCTGAGAAATAAATAGACAGGGTTAAAAAACAAAATGCAGGAAAGAGGAAACGCAACATTTACAGGCACCCGGCATGGACTCCCTGCATTTATGTCATCGTTTAATAAGCTGCTAAATAAACAGTTACGGTGGGTCCAGGACAGATGCTGTCACGCCTCGTACCTTTGCTTCACTTGTTCTGCCCTGCCTTAGTTGGTCCTTAAACTGGAACTGCCCAGACAACATAGCAGACTAGCCCTTTTTAATAACCTGTGTGCTTTCTCACTGACACCTCTGATTCATGAGGCCTTTCAATGATTTGAGGAAGTGAATCATATTTAACAGTGCTTTCAAAAATTGCAAAAGAAAGACATTTTTTTGTGCAGAAACTATGTACTGTAAGTGTCTCGGCAGGAGGCGAGGAGCAGAAAGAACACAGAAGGAGAGGTGGAGTCGGCAAGTGTCAATGCGATAGTGGAGCAGTCTAATGCAGCCTTTGCCCAGTAGAGACCGTATGTCCAAAGTGGACCACCTAGAGGTCTGATCTAGCTGCTTATGCGTTGATCCAAGACCCTCCTATGGTTCATTCAATCCACTTCTCCCCCCCAACGTCGGCTTGAACTTCAAAGACCCCCTTGCCTAGCATCTCGATTCCCTTTTTATGTATTGTCCCTTTTCTCTCCTGGTCTTTCTGATGGAGGCTCTGTCCTCTCTTGGTGTGTGAAGAGCCCCTTCGCAGCCTCTCTCTCTCTCTCTCTCTCTCTCTCTCTGGGGCGAGGCTGTTAATAATGCAGGAGGATTAGCAGGTTTATGTGAGCCCGAGGCGTTGAAGAAAGCTGAGGATCCTGAAGGCGACGGGGCAGACAGAGAGGGCCAAGGAGTATGCAATGTTGAAGGCGGTGCCATACAGGAGCGCTGGGTGTCTGGATGACGGGGCCTGGATGTGTGCCTAGCGAGCAAGCTGGCAATAATCCACCCGCCCTGCCCCCCCCCCACCCCAAAACCCCACCCTGCACTGCACAGAGCTCTGCCAAAAGTGCTCCGCAGGGTCAGGGGTGACAGGAGGTGGCAGCGGAGAAGAAAAAGGGGGGGGGGCACGGGTACAGTAGTATGCCATCAGGCTACCTCCAACTTGGCTTGTATGCTGTTGCTTTGGCACCAATGCCTACATAGCTGCGTCCTAAAGATATTTATAAATACTCACTTGTCATTTTTTTGTTTTACAATGGAATGCCGAGGTCACTTCTTCGGTTCCTGTGCACATTTGTGAAATAAAAAAACACTTTGTGTAGTTTTCCTAGAGCAGATAACATGCTGAACTCATATTTGCCACCCTTTCCCTTTGCAGGCCCATTAGAATGTATTTCCCAATTGATCTAAAGTAAAGTAAAAAAATACAATATTCACAGTGGCCAAGTATTCATTCAAAGACTGAGTTTAAGAGACTGCTTTTTCGGTGGATAGTTTTTGATGGACCATCAAACATGCATGCGCACACACACACACACACACACACACACACACACACAGACACACACACACACACACACTCTCACACACACACACAGAGTGGGTTTTAAGGTATTTTCAAGGTGGTGTGGGTGATTTCCAGCCGTCTGGGGTGAAAAGTGTGACAGGTGTGTCTGTATGTGTTCAATAATATGTGCCCATGCCTATTTCTGTAAGTGTGTGTGTGTGTGTGTGTGTGTGTGCCTCTGCATGCTCCTGTGCTCTGGTTGCTGAGCCATAGGCTATTCGGTGCGGGAGCAAGCGGCAGATGGGTTTATTCCTGCTGTCTGCCCACAGGATGTGCACTCACGCCGCCTGGCTGATTAAGACTTCCACATGTTCTCACACTCGCAGAAAAGGATCGATTCATATTTGGACTGATTCGTGCTTAAAGAAAATCAAATCACACAGCGCTCCTTGTCAGATCAGCTCGTCTTTTTGAAGCGTGTCCAATGCGGAAAATTTGACAATACACCGGTACGTGTGTGAGTTTGTGCACGTGTGCTCTCATCATGGCTTCCTACACATGCATGAGACTCCACGGCGGTGTGACTCGGGGGAAATGGATGTGCGAGGAGTGGGGCGCTCGGGCCCCTCGCTCAAGTGCAACTGCCGAGCACGTAATGGGAATGCAATTTAAGCAGTGGTTAATCAGTGTGTTTTCTCCAGCTTGCCCAGCAATGCATAATAGACAATCAGCCCCCAGTCACTCGGGCGTTGCTGCGAATGGTCAATTACTCATCATAGTCTTGTTAAACACACAGTTCACCCAGCCAGGGACAGATTGCTCTGCTGGTGCCATCATTATGGTAAAGAACAAAGCACAGAAATATGTCATGTGTCAGAGAGAACCAGGGGACAGAGAGCGAAAGAAGAGACAATGAGGGTTGGAAAGAGGCCTGCAAATAGTGTCTTTCTGCTCGTCGTGATTGCAGAGAGGAGGGAAGGCAAGAGGGCACAAGGAAAAAGTGTGACGCCCCAAAAATAGAAACAAAGGATACAGGATCGTCAAAGTTACGCTGCGAGATAAGAAGAACGAGGACAGGAGTTGAGGTGAAATGACGCAGAGCAATAAGGGAGATTGAGGGCATGGAAGTGAGCGATGGAGAGTATAAGATAATGGAGGGAGGGAGAGAAATTGAGAAAGGGACACTGGGGAGCGGGAGCAAAAGTGTGTGAGAGCGGGAGGGAGAGAGCCTGAGAAAGTGTGTACTCAGCTGTGAGATGAGACCTCTGTCTGCCCATGGGGAGAGGCCGTGTGAGAGGAGACGGGGAGGGAGTGAGGGGGAGGAGAGTCTCATGCTCTCACTCATTCGCCCTGTCCCCGGGGTGGTTTTTAATGGGCCTTTAAATCTACATCTGATTTGTTTTTCTTTATTCACACACCTTATTCAAGGTGAACATGTGCTGCTCTAATTCTAACACTGTTTTCTATCCTTACCCCCTCCTCCTCCGTGGGCGTGCAGGCAGTGGATTGATGGGCAATTCCTCGGCCTCCTTCATGGGGACCTTCCTGGCCAGTAGTCTGGGCTCCCCACATCCCACCCGTCTCACCCTTCCCGGCGCCTTCTTCACCTTCTCACTTCTTCTGGGGCGACCTCACTCCAGCGCCTCGCAAATCTGGTTTCCTCAATTCACACGAAAGTACCCTCAATCACACACGCACACACAAACACACAGCCCCCATCTGACCACCTGGACTGAAAGAGGCCGTACTCACATCTTGGCAGAATCAGGGACAGTTTCTCCGATATTGTGTATTCTTAGTCTGCGTAAGGTTTCCACCAAAGCACAGCTTGTAATCATCTAGCGAAGGCCGGGCTCCCACCCTTTTTATGTTTGCACAAAAATAGTCCTGGGCCCAGCATGCTCGGGATGGAGTACAGCGCTGAGGACACAGGGGGGGTCAAAGGTTCAGCCAAGGAATCTTGCGGTATTCGATTCACGTAAGCTGGAATGTCATTCAACGCTCTCTGGAGCAGCGTGCGCGATCCCACACCAGTGAGAAGTTGCAGTGATTGCAAAGCTTTCCGCTGGTGTTCCCATCACATTGGGTAGTTCCCACCCGACGCTGAGCATTACAAACCCCGGTTACACACACACACACACACACATTCAGGAAAGATAAACACACACCCAGCTCAACACCTCACATTGCATGGATACAGTAAAGGGATTTCAGGAATTCAAATGCTAAGGATGAAGAGAAATAAAGCGCCTATCCAATGCCACTCTCACACGTATATTAATGCAAGGTCTGCTTTCCGGTGACTTTACTTCTGTCACTTTTATATTTAAGCGTTCATAATCTTTTGCTAATTACATGATGAGATGACCGCCTGATGCCGTTCAGTGAACCACAGACTTTGGAGCTGTATTTTAGCGCTGTGTATATATTTATCTGCCAAGTATAGCCCAGCTGTTGGTCCATAGGGGGGGAGGTGGGAGGGGGGGGGGGGGACGCCAGTGGGGAGTGTTTGTTATGTGTGGTCACTGATCATCTGTGCCTCAGTTGCGTGATGTGTGTGTGCATGCCCCTCAGCATACCCCCCCCTCAAATAAACACGGAGACAGACAAATACATTTGCATCACCTCAGTCACAGATATTTTCCCTCAAAACTAATTTTGTAAGCATCAGTGTTCCTTTCACCTTTTATAGTCTCAGGGTTTCATTGTCTGGGATTTTCTTCTCGTGGAAAAGTAGAATAATGTTAATAAGAGGGATGATGATGATGCCAAGCCTAATAAAAGTAACGGAGGTGATTATGACTGGGATTATTACTCAGTTGGCAATGGAGGCCATTATCTCTATTGCAGTTTAATTGCATATAACACACTAAGAGCATGATTGAATCCAGACTGTTCATCAACCACATTCAGCTGTTCCCTCCTCAAGATAATTGCATATTGTCTTTTTCCTGTTTTGCATAAAAAGCAAGTCATCAAAATGAGCGGCACAATTACCCAGACTCTCGCTTCCTCTCTCCGGGCGTCAGCAGAACCCCGCCAGCAGCGGAGCAGGAGTTGATGTTTGTGTGTCGGTGCATTTGTGTGTCTCTTGTAACCTTAAAGATATTCGCTGGATTTTCTTTTCTTTTTTTTTCTTCTTCCTCTTCTTTTTATGCAGGGTGTGTTGTTAAAGTAGCTGTTTGCATGCAAATCTGAGCATAGCAGCTCAAATTTGTATTCAAAGATTACTGTATTATTCTCATGTCTCTGGCATATACCTGTCACGGTGTAGGATGTCCTTGTTTCTGCTATTCTTCTGAAACATTCACCACATTAAGGAGCTAGAAATCAACCCTGTATCGAGTATTCGATGACAGTGATCTCATTAGTCAGTCGCTAACCGCAGTAAACTGATGTGAACGGAGCAGGCTGAATAATATAATACATATTTTACTTTTCCTATTTATTCTCTGACCTGCAACAATCATCAGCAACTTCTGAAATGCTATTATGGCAGTTATTAAAAAAATAGATTATTTTGATAAAAGGTAAGCCATACGAATGTACTGACCTATATCGGCAATAAGATGCACCAAGTGAGAGACAATGAACAGAAGAAGTGGCTAACATGGTTTTTAATCTAGTAAGTGCAGAAGTGCATCAGAAAATTAGAAATGTGTTGAGGATATTCTGCTCACTAACAAGTCTGAAAACCGCAACTCCTTGGCGATGATAATAGTAATGATAACAAGGATTATAATGGCAATGATGATAATAAAATAGAGAGAAGGATAATAACCAACCGCATCTGTGAAAAACAAGCTGACAATCAAACACAGTCAACAATCATACACAGTCCATTATGTCCAATTTGAATAAAAGCTCAGTTTTTAGAAGAGAAAAAAATGTGTTTTCAACTTATTACGCATTAGCACAAAGATTTGTGTGTTCATGATGTGAGTATGTTTGTAGAGGGCCAGTTAAGTCGTGCACACAGACCGTGTTTCTGTTGGGAGCATGAGTGACAAGCCATTAGCTGAGTGACACGTTAAGCAAAACTATAAATAACCTCGCCACATAACAGTGTTGTACGGCTCCTTGGATCAAGATTGCTGGCAGAGGGAGTCAGCGAATGTGGTACAGAGAATTCCTGTGTTGATTTTTGTTTAACGATTTATTGCGTTGGTATAAAAACCGTATAGTACACCGTCTTACAAATGCTGGCATATTTGTTTTTTAAGTGACAAGAAGCGAACCATTAGTGGCTTTCACGATGTTAGAGAGAAGCATGAATTAACCGAGGTTTTGGTTTCAGATGGTCCCTTCAGATTTATTGCCAATTACAGTAACAGCCATTGTGTGTACCACACATGGGATTTCCTGTTCATTGGCTGAACGGAGACGAGGGCTCTGACACAGAGACAGAGATAGATGGAGACGGGTACGTGATTGTGGGTGGAAAAGAAGAGAAAGTAGGGACATTTCAATACATGGAATGTAAAATGTTTTTCATAGCAACGGGTAAAATGGATTAGGCCCTGGAAAGATTTATTTTCATGTGTGGGACCGTTATATAAACCAGAACCCCCCCCCCCTTTCCGCTAGAATCAACCCAGTGAAACTCTTCTTTAAAAGATAAAAAAAAAGAATAACGGACAAAATAAAACCTGCAGTTCCGAGGCCAACTGGCTTCGGTCCAAGTGACTTGTCACATTACGCCAAAAACAATCTCAGTCTCAAATCTCCGTCAACACGTATAGACACACAAGCGCGTACAAGTGCACACACACACACACACACACACACAGACAATTGCCTGCACGCACCTGTCTAATCCACTTCTGTTTGATACGCATTTCCAAGCCTATCTTCAGTTGTCCATCTTTCCTTCTGTGAGCAGTCGCTATAGCTTTTCCTTTTATGGGATTTAAGCTGCACCCTCCCCGCCCCCCCACCCCACCCCTCCTCGCTTCCATACTCCTGCTTCTTTCATGCTCTCTCTCTCTCTCTCTCTCTCTCTCACTCTCTCTCTCTCTCTCTTTTTCTCTCTCGCCAGCCTGCAACCCTTCCTTTCAATTAGTCAAACATGAAGAGTTCCCCCACAGTTCTGCCTCCTCTGCCAAAACCCCTCCTCCTCCCATTTTGTGTCCTGATGGTTCTGTCACTTTTTCTCAATTAGCGGACTTGACAGGCAGCTCAGCCCGCTCCTCCTTTGCTCCAGGTCTTCTTCCGCCGTGCTCTCTCTCTCTCTCTCTCTAGACTCTCTCTCTCTCTGAAATGTTACAGCCGTGTCCCTGGAGATATAGCATATTACATTTTAGCATTAATGCTCTTTTGCCTTTTCGCATTCAGCAGCCCGGATTCCTTGCTGCCGTTAGGTGCTGCTCTATATCGAGCCCTCCTTATTTGTCCTCCCGGCCCACCAAGCTGTGAGAAATATCTCCAGAACCACTGGAAATCCCTCCCCGGGATGCAGCTCTGTTTGTTCTCCCTCTCGCCCCTGCTCCGCCCTTGGAATGGCAGGCATGCGCTGTGAGCTCCCCTCTGTCGCTCACTTGCCGACGCCGACTTGTTTATGCGAGTGTGCAGAGGGGGGGAGAGAGAGAGAGAGAGAGAGAGAGAGAGAGAGAGAGAGAGAGAGAGAGAGGCTGCTGTGCAGTCAGCAGACCGCACTAAGACCCTGCTCACGTCGCCCGCAGCGGCAGCAGCTTCCCTTGTCCTGACCAGATTAATGGCTGAATGGGCTCTGCCATGCCCAGCAGGCCCCCTCTTGCCGCCCCACTGGAGGGCACGCCGAAACCGAGCGGGCTGGCATTATCGGGCACAGCCAGACCACGCTGTGAAAAGGGATTACGCCGCCAATCGTCACGCACACAAACAACATGCATGCCGCAGGAAAAAAGAAAAGCCCCTCTCCCAGGCTTGGATAAAACTGCCAAAAACAGCTCGCCGTTTCCCCCCCGCCCCCCTTTTCCCCAAATCGGAGAAAAAAAAAATGTCCTGCTTAAACAAAGGATCTGCCCTCCTCATACTGTAGATGAATGGGCATGAATGTGTCTGCTTGTTGAGCATGACGGCGACGAGTCAGACAAAGGGAGGGAGATAGAAAAATAGGTAGATTAGAGAAGAAGTGAGGGCATGTAATTATCACCCCGTTGCCCTCCTCAGACAGCGGCACCTCCTGTGTTATCACAGGACTTGTTTGCCCTCTCTGCATTTCATTAATTAAGATGGGGGCATGCGGAGGCCGCTCTGAGACGAGGTCATTAAGCCCACCACAACACTCCTCCCTCCCCAAAGCCGGTTCTCAGCACCGGCCCCATTGTTCCACCAGCAGAAAGTGAGACATTCAACCCTTTCGGCGCTTCTGTTAAAACCACGGCGCTGCGCACACATGTGGCCAAAACGAACTACACCTGCGTTCTCTGGGACCAGGTCGCACACTTGCCAACACAAATACGGTCTGTTTTTCATTTAGTTTGAGCCGCGCTCTCCTCTCTTCATCGTCCCAATCTGTCTGCGAGTTGCGTTTGACAATGAGGCTGGAGGGTGAGGCAGGTGCAAAAGCAGGGAATAGGAGATGTGAAACACCTGAACTTCTCCAGATGGCTTAGAGGCCACTGTAATGGTTGACTGTGGTGCTTGTGGACGTTAGAAATGAAGTGCTATCACAATATTTCTCTTCTCTTATATCATTATTAATATCGCCGTAGCCAGTGTGTATCAAGACGAAGAAGACAAAGGTTTAATCAGGGCTGTATCACATTTCATAATATGCTCAGGATAGCATTATTGTCGGCAAAGAATTAGCCTTTTTTTAAAGTTCACAGTACTTTTATTGTAATGCCATCTGGCATTAGAGAATTATAAATTTGTAGAGATTGCAAAATTCAATTTGCAGTGATTTGTTTGGATGTTTTAGTTCCCCCATTGCAATGGAAGTGGGTTGTCATAGAGATTCTTTGTCCTAATATTGTCGAGGCTTTCATCTCGATCCATGTTTTCTCTCCTCCACCTTCAAAGTCCTTTTGTGTTTTTGATTGTTCCGCTTCAAAATGAGTTTTCTGTTTGGTTGTGGTATAAATGTGTGGGCTTGATTCCGTAAACCAAGGTGTACTGGCTTAAAGTTCCAATATCCAAATGATCCCTTATCCTTGATTTGGCCAGTAAAGGTCGGCCTCCCAGCTCTCTCTTCATTCTCACAAGCCTTATAATCAATCCTTATTACTTCAGATAGACGATAGCGTCACCGCCAGCTCTCAGAAAGAGTAAAAGAAAGAGCCATATGTGTTTCAGAGACACATTCATGCATTACACCAATCCCCGAGCTTGTCATGTATTGTTTGCCTTCTAGACTCAGGCAGGAAAGGCAAACATAACAGGCAGCGCCAGTACTTATTTGCGTATGAACACCACCAGCTGCATTGGACCAGAAGGATTATGCTGGGTTAGCCTGTATATAACGGCATTTTGGAGGTTATTGTCCTGTCTTATCAATTCTCTCTCTCCCTCTCTCTGCTCTGCATCTCAGCAGCTCCGGGGTATCCTCGTTTCTCAGGGAGTTTGGCCCACACTTTCCTCCCCATGAGCCACTTGGATCACCATGCCAACAGTGGAGTTCTCTACGGGCAGCACCGTTTCTATGACACGCAAAAAGGTGAGGCATGAGCTTATCAGTATTCAATCAGACAGAAATAAGACATTTGAATCATCAATCAACGTAGTATGGTGTCATTTTCTGTGGGATATTGATACAAGAATACCTGAGGACACAAACAGAGAGATCTAAATAATCTAAATCACATTTTCCTTTCTACTCTAACTACTTTTGTTTTCACTGGCCCGCCCTCCTCTCAGAGAACTTCTATCTTCGAGGTCTCCCGTCCCAGCCGCCTCTCATCTCAGCCAATCACAGTCTGCCACCGATGTCCAGGGCAGGTTCAGGACACTCTCAGGGGTCCTGCAGCAGAGACAGAGATCCAGGGATAGGCACTGGTCTTCATAAGGGCCTAAAAGAGGGGTCTGTCGAGAGAGGAGTAGTACCTGCAAAAGACAAGGAGAGGTCCAGTAGCAAACAAGAGGCAAAAGAGAGACAACAACAACAGCAGCAGCAGCAGCAGCAGCAGCAACAACAGCTCCACAACCACCAACCACCGCAGCCCACACACCACCACCATCCCCACACACATCAGCAGCACCCACACTATCCACAGCACACACTACCCCTGGAGGAGGTCAACAGTCGCGCCTTGGAGAGGCACAAGGCATCTCTCACCATGGAATACAGCAAGGAACACTCTCAGAGTATGGGCAAGCCCCTCAGTGCCTGCTTGCACAATGGCAAGATACAAAATGGAGATGGAGGAGCTGGAGCAGGGGCTAAGCCTTCCATGTCCAGCTGTGGGGGGGAGGGCACAGCCCTTGGGGCCATGGTGGTTGGAGGGAGCACCCAGGGAAGACATATGGTGTCCAGTGTTAGTAGTCGCTGTACCAAAGAGGGAATAAGTGGGGAGATGAGGATCAGTGAACAACCTTCAGACTGTCTGGAAAGGGGTCAGGCACCACTCCACCATTCTCTGTCCTATTCCGTGCCCCCGACTTTACACATGGGTTCCGCTGGAGCGGCACACCCCCATCAACATCCTCATACTCACCCCCACCCACATCCTCACCCAGGGGGCTTCCATTGCCTTCAGCTCCACCCAAGCCACCCACACCATCCACATCATTCCCACCATACACACCACCATCCAGACTTCTTCTGTCCGCCCCCTCCTGCTCCTCTGGTGAACCCTGCCTCACATGAGAGGGGGCCAGCCAATGCGGGGCGAGAACCTAAAATCACCGGGCCTACATTCGTACCATCTGTGGCAGGCCTGGGGGACAAATCTAACGGTCCTTTCCAACTCGGTAACTCAGACTGCCATGGTGTGAGTGGTGGAGGAGTAGGCAGCAACATCAAGGATAAGGTAATAGAAAAGAATGGAAGCAGCGGGCATCATAGTAATTGGCAAAGAAAACAGCAACAAACACAGCAACAACAGCAGCAACAGCAACAACTACAGCAACAACAACAGCAACAACAACAGCAGCAGCAGCAGCAACACCCATACAGAAAGACAGAAAAGGCTGCAGATTGGATGCAGTCCCACCACCAACACCTTCAGCCCTCACAGCTTGCTCCACCTACCCAACTACAACAACCGCCACATCCCCAACAACAACAGCACCTGGTTGTACGATCGCGCAGTGCCGAGTGTATCAACAGCGGTGTGGACATGGACGTATTTCGAGCCTCGATGCCCCAAGGACCAAAGGCTGGACACTCTGTCCCTCATTCGGTCAACACTTCTCCTTACAGAGACTGTTCCCATCCAGGACCCCAACCTAACTCCTCCCCACTCGGAAGTAAAAGCATGGTTCAACATAGTGGGGCAGGAGTGGCCCACGGCCCTGGTCCTGCTGGTAGCTGCTCCTTGCAGAGAGATGGCCAAAAGGTAGCCAGGATACGCCACCAACAACATGGCCGACCGGGCCCAGATGCACCTTCTCCTGCTGAGTTGAACCAAGGGACTGGTCAAGAGCTGAAAAGAAAATTGGAAATGTCTCCTTATGGTTACGGCAACAGCAGTGGGCAGCACCACCACCAGCAGCCCCCGGTGCCAGCTTGGGCCATGAGGCCCCCCCACCACATGTCACAACCCGAGGAGGAGCAAAGGAAGTCTTACATGGAGTTAGGAAGTGCCGGTGGGCAACACTCTCAGCAGCAGCAACAGCAGCAGTCGGGTATGAGTCTGCCCCCTTCCCAGCCTCCCTCAGCACCTCCCCTCAGTCAGCAACAGCAGCAGCCGCAGCAGCAACCAGAGCCCCAGGGCCCAACGCAGGGGGAGAGCAGTGCCATGAAAAGCTTACTAAAGTACAGCAACCAGCAACAGCCACTGCTCCTCTCCCAGAAGAGCCCCTTCGGAGGGCTGGGATCCCTCAAATCGGGTCCTGCCGGGGGGAGCTGTGCCCTGCAGGGCAGCAAACAAACTCTACCTTCCAGAAAGGGCCCGGCCAATGACAACGAGCGCCCTGATTACAGTGGGCGGGGCCGGGATATAGGGGATGCAGGTCATGGGGAAAGTGAGGTGCGTCAGCCGCCAGTGGGAATCGCAGTGGCTGTGGCCAGACAAAGGGAGCCACCTTGTCGCTCGGCAGACAGTCATCCAAACAGTCGACAAGGCAGGGTACATCCCTCAGTGAAAGGTAAGCAGACAGGTCACTGCCTAAAAAACAGAAGTGCAGGGAAGAAAGACTTTCTTTTTATATCCGTGAGCAATTTACGCCCTATTGGAAATGAAACAAAAGAAAACAGAAAAAAATGATTCTGTAGCTAAGAGGCTTGACAAAATAATTGGTGGCACTCAGCATTGTTTCCAGTGATGAAAAAACTATTGATTTTTGGAGAATGCAATTCTCGCAATGTATAAATGATGGTATGAATTTCAGTGTGATTGAAATGGCATTAAAAGCATGGTCCAAAATGTGTTTAATGGGGCAAAATATGAGCTGTCTGCGCTCTTGTTAGTCATACCAGGGTTTTGAAAAATGTAGAGAGATTAGTGAACATGTCCTCACCAGGGGGGAGCTAATGGTTAAGATAATGTTTCGCAGGACCGCCGCGCTCCATGTATCCTTCAGATCCTGCTGCCGAAGAGGAGAGAAAGAGGATGAGTGGGGAACAGATAGGTCTGACTTGCTTGGACAGAGAGAGAGAAGCATATATCAGGTAAGCAACTGTTAAGCCACTGCTCATTGCATATTTATAATATATCATTGTTCTTCGTTTGCATTTCCTTACTTTTGTCTCATCCTGATGTCAGGGATAATAAGGAAAGGGTGGAATTTGCAAGAATCCACCCCTCCAACAGCTGTCACGGAGACTTGACCTCTCATCTCATGGTCCCAGGCGGGACATCCCTCCAGTCTGGCCAATTAGGAGATCCTGCTTCACATTCTGCTCACCATCATTGGATGCCAAGAACTGGAAGCCCATCCCTTTGGATGACAGGACACTCTTATGGTAAAGACATATGAATCATTTTGAAAATTAAGATAAAGTCCTACGTTTCCCATAAATGGAATACAAAAAAGAGCTATTTCTTTGTTCTATTAACTTAGCTCCAAAACCCTGTTTTATCGATGAATTGATGATTTACCATTATGCCGAAGACAACAAATAAATTCAACTAAAGCCTCTTTTCCTTTGTTCCAAGTTAGGTTTAGAAAACATTTCCCAATTTAGTAATCAAGATCGGTAGTCGTATCATATTTTTAGCAGTGTTCCACGTAGTGTGCGGTGGGAATGTAGATCTGAACTCACATCCTTTGTATAAAGCAGGCATAGGTCATACAGCCCTGCACCAGAATCTACCCCCAGGTTTCTCGGCAGCCATGCCAGGCTCTCTGCAGCCAGTCCTGCCTCTGCCTCAGGACCCCTCTGCTCAGCTAGTGGTCCTGCCCACTGAGCCTCCCGCCCACCCTGCGACCCATCACCTGGGTATGCCGTACCTTTTATCTGTCTACTGCAAATCCAAGTGTATGTTTAAAGTACAATAAATGTGTATTCACATGTACAGCCTCATACCTGGACGTGTTTCACATTAAGATCATTAGAACACATTTCCACCTGCTTGGCTCAGTTTGAACATTGGCTCTCGATATTTTCAGTAAGCAGGCCGTGAAGTTTAATTAGCTCACAATCTTCAACGGTTCTTTGCCTTCAATGCAACAGGAGCCTCAGCCGAGAAAGGAAGTGCATCCACAAAAGCTTTCCCACAGGAAACATTCAACTTTATTTCTCTGAGCAAGGATTACTGGAGAAAAAGGGTGGAAGGGCGAGTCAATGTCGAAGAGTAGAGTACAAAGAGAGAATAGAAGAATTAGGTTTCTGAGGTTCCTACAGTGTGGGCCCACTATTACCCAAGTGGGACTTCTGTCATAGCACATCACCCACACCATTTTTAACTGCTCCTTAAAGCCACATATTGAGAACGGTTTCCCACCCACAGATATCAAAACTAAGCCTCCTGCTGGGCTCCATCCCAGACTCTTTTCTGCGATGTGACTGGACAGGTGGAGGTTCTTTGGGGGAATTTCCACTCTGAAGGCTCCGGCGAGACAAACTGTTTTTCCAGCCCAGTGTTTTGACCTGTAATCTGCCCACCCGCCCCCCCAAACATTCCAGTTAATTCTCATAGCAGTTCTTTTTACAGACATTCAGTTTCAGGGAAGAGTGTGGGATGCTACTGCCTAGGGAAATGTTGTTCTATGATGTCAACATTTTTATTTCTAGAAACATTTTTCTATGTAGTTATAAAATGTGGATACAATGATATTTAAATGCCCCATAATGGTTTCTCTGTTTGGGTGTGTGGGATGTAGATAATGACTGCATAGGGATATGGGTAGCACAATGTTGTATTCAAGCATTGTGCACGTAGTTTTGATGTAAAAGGTCCATTAATTGTGTATTTGCATGTATGTAATTTTGTTCTAAGGTATCCCTCCTCCTTTTTCTCATTAGATGTGATGGAGCAGCCAGGGCTGTGGCCCCCTGTGTATGGTGCCCGGGGCCCACCCTCCCACATGCAGCATCCTGCTGTGTACTCCCGATCCCAGTTTCTACGGCAACAGGAGCTCTACGCTCTCCAACAGCACCAGCAGCTCCAGCATCAGCATCAACATCAGCACCAGAGCCACCAGTCGCAGCAAACACAGTCTCAAAGCCAGCAGCAGCTGCAGCACAGAGCGGTGCATGGCATGGACATGCAACATCATGCAACCCACAATTCACAGGTGATTAAAACCTAAAATATGGGAGAACCATCGAGATTTTGAGAAGAGTGTGATTGAATTAAATGTATCCATCTAGCTGGCTATCTACACGTACAAAAGTGAAAAAGCAGAGTGAGCGACATGAACGTTGTTCTATTTTTAACTCCTTGAATATTTTTATGGGCTTTCTCACAGGGATGCAGTAAATCACAGAATATAGGCAGACAAGTAGCTTTTATGTAACGTTAATTATGTTATGGTTAATGTAGAAAATTCACTACATCCATTTTTTATCAGGCCCCTCTGTAAAAGAAGAAACCTAAAACAACTTAATTTTCTTGCCACAGATGCAGAAGAGGCCGGACGAGCCCTCGGTTGAACTGGAGGAACTCATTTCGGAACCGAGAACATCGAAACCTTCCAAGCTTTACTCCTACAACTCGTCTCAGAGGAACAACTCTTCGCCCGGGGCCTGCGGCGCTCACCTGTCCCCCTGTTGCCAGTCCCCATCTGTACGTCCACATCCCAAGAGCACTCCTTCTACACCCTGCCCTGCTCCCAGCCCGGCCACGGCAGCCCCGCACTCACCTGCCATCAGCCCTGCACCGCCTCAGATGCTCAAAGGGGCCGAATCGCAGGACAAGCGAGTGGAGGGACAGCCCCCCCAGGATTACCCACAATCCCTGGAGCCCGGTAAGCATAATACGCAAAGTAGCTCCGACACAGCAATGGAACAGCGACAGTGAGTTTTTATAGCGCTTGGAACAATATATCCGGTGACAACTGGAATAGCCACTGTTGTTGAGGATCCTTTTTGTCCGCTGGACTTATGCCAACATGTGTGGGTGGCTCCGTTGGCAAGCCGCTGATTGACTGAACGGCTCAAGGCTGCCGAAAATGGCTGCCGGCTGAGCTGGGGTTTTCCACGACCGTTAAAGCGGTAATGACGGAAGAACACCTCAATAGCGGCCCGCCGTTCCTCCATCACCCTCCACAGGCCCAGCGGCCTCTTCGTCATTGTTAATGTCTGGCTAACGGCGCGCCAGAAGAATTGTGTCAGGTGCTCTGATGAACCAAAGCCTGTCCCACTTCAAAGAATACACACACACACACACACATTTTCATGAGGTTCCCTTGGCTTCCTACTGCTGGGAGATCAAGGCAGAGTGCAGATCCTTTTTCTTGCGTTATAATCACTTTTGAAGTCAAGGTAGCAAGGGAATTATGTTTGGAATCTGCCTGATGTTCTAGACTTTAGCTTCGCATTAAACTGTGTATTTTCATCCAAAATTACTCTCACTAAATGATTTCATGAGATGTGTGGAAAGGTTTTTGATCGGAATTGTTGTCACTGTTGATCATTTCATTAACTATATTTCGTTCTCTCTTCAGACTTGCCTCCTGGTTACACCTACCCTGATATTGCCATGGGCTACAGGAGTGGGTCCTCCGCCCAGGATGATCGACTGGCTGAGCCAGCTGACCTGGAAGCAGTCCAAGTGGAGCCTGCTGACCATGCTCCTCGGTCTCTCTCCGGCCTGGGTGAGGAGTTAGCCTGCCAAGCGGCGGTCGGGCCCCTCCCAGAGCCGCTCCCATCGGAAGAACTACAGAAGGAGGAGAAAGAAGAAAGCGTGGTGGAGAGAGTTCTGGAACAGAGGGAGGAGGCGGAGGGAACAGCAGTGACAGCAGCCCGCAAAGCACCTGGGGAGAGGGAGGTGGAGGAGCAGGGGCCCGCTGAGGAAGAGGGCACGGTCTGCCCCCCTGCTAAGAGCCCGGTGTGCGAGGCGGCTTCCTGTCCAGCCCTCCTTTCAACAGAGGAGCTTGAAAGGCCAGAAGCTGTCATCACCTTGGAGGAGGAAGCGGCTGATGAGGCGGAGGTTGATAGCCAGTTGGAGCATGCTCAAAGGGTCAACATGCCTGGAGAACAGGAGCCAGAGCTGTCCACCGTCATTGAGCTTGACCCTGCTTCCCCTGAAACTGCTGAGCCTCGGCCCCCATCCCTCGAGGAAACAAAGGGCAGCGAGCAGCAGCACCAGAAACAGACAAACTCTGGCGACGCCCCAGTGGATTATATGTGTCTTTCTGCCTCAACTTCTGCCCCAAGCCCGAGCCAAGCAACTGTTGCTGCGCCCCACAAACCCCTCGTGCCCTGCTACTGGAGTCTCGAGCTGCTGATTGCCGCTGCCTTCTGCACCGACGTACCTCCATTCCCGTTGTTCCCTCTCGGCACCCCTCCGGTGGCCCCGTCACAGCCCAGTCCCCACCATGGTATGGAGCTTCTGAGTGAGCTGGCAGATCTGGAGCTGCAGCAGCTAAAGCACAACTGTGGGAAAAGCCAGGGTGAGGGGACAAGCGGGGGGGTCTTCCCTTACTCATACATATACACACACAACAATCCTAAATGTTCTGGTAGTTTATTCTATCCGTCCTCTTTGTCCACTGAGGCAATCTCCCACTCCCTCCTCGGGCCTGGCCTCCGTCACTATGCGTTGCCCCCCTGATAGTCCTCTCTTCCTGACGGTCTCGAGAGCCTCTGGTGGATTCTACCATGTCCCCAGAGAGGCTGTCTGCGTGCTCGCTCGCCGTTTCTCTTCTTTGGTGTGTTCAAAGGCACTTTTTATTTCTAAAACGCTGTTCTAACGCCGCAAAGGCCTCAGGAGAAGGAGAGAGGAAGGAAGCAGGAGGACAGGGCTGAACCACCAGCGAGGGGTATACGTCCCCCCCTGCTCACTCCCTCTCCTTCCCTTCCGGCTTTCCTCGGGGAGCTGTCTCTCCGCCCCTCCGTCCCGCTGCCGTTTGATTCACACGTGTGCGCGCACGCACACGCAAAGGCAAATACAAGCATTTTAACAAAAGGGGAAAAACAGAGACAGCAATTGGCTTCCCTCTCTCTCTCCCACACACGTTACTGAAAGTTAGTGAGTAATCACCAAAGCAGTCAATGTTTTCAGCACCCTGGAGCATTGCCTGGCTAATTAGACACCATTGTTTTAAAGTGCCTTTAAAAGCTTCCTTGTTTTTCAAAGCGCCACGTGTTTTATTTATTCATTTTTTTAAATCCATGCAAAAGGATGTTTTGTGTTTACCACGGCATCCTAATGCATTTAACTGCTCCCAAAAGAGGTTCTATAAAAAGGGTATCATCAACCGATTCTAGAGGCAGTGATGTTGTCTTTGTGAAGCGATATTGTTGACGGCACAAGAAAGAGGCACATGTTGACTCACAACAATTGTCTTCATCGAAGACGAGAACTAAAACGAGTGAGAACCATTTCTATTTATTAATTTACATATGTAAAGACGCGAGATAGTGTTGCCGTACAAACAGAACTGCATGTTTCTGTTCTCTGACTAAACTGCCGTCCCTGATATTCAGCCTTTTCCTCAAAGGGCAGAGAGTCCATTCAGTGCCACAGGCAGGTAGGCTATATATGAAGAGCGTGGCCCAGATGGTCACTGATATTGCAGCATCTGGTCAGCCCACATTCACATGACCTCTGAAACGATATGCCGGTGCGTCCTCATGCTCGTTTAAGAAGCCCAATTCATTCAATTCCTGTATTTCTATCACAAGATGCTGAAATAATAAGCTAATTAAGCTTTAAAAGCTTTTAAGATTTTTGTGACAGCTTTTAAGGTGAAATATCTAGTTCAATTGCGCCGATCGTTGAAGTATGGATGGACACGACGTGAACTAACAATTGTTTCTTTCCGTAACAGAAGAGGAGTTGCTGATGTTTGACCTCCAGAGCCTTGCTACGCTGGCCACAGCCCGAGCTCTGGAGATGGGCTCGCAGGAAGGCAGCAGTACGGGATCAGGGCGACACTTCCCCGCCCGCAAGATCCTCAATCTACGAAGGAAATGTAGCTGGACTCCTCGCAATGAACCAGTGAGTAGTTCAATTTGATATACATTAAAATACACGAGTAGTTAGGCCAATTTGAGGAAATGGTTTTCTTATATTTTATGATGTTAGTGATATTAAAAATAACCACCAATGATACCTCAGGTGTGCCCGGCCAAAGGTGGCATGGAGACAATGGACGGTCCTGAGCTGGCAATGCGTGTGAAGCTGGCTGAGCTACAGCGACGCTACAAAGAGAAGCAAAAGGAGCTGGCTAAACTTCAGAGGAAGCACGATCATCAGTGAGATCTTGTCCTCCTTTTCCCTTAAGCTTTGGAAAAGCCACACACATTTAAACACAATTGCTTCTTGTTTTTCAGAGGGTTCCTCTCTTATTTGATGCTGCAACCTTTTGACTTTTGATGCGTGCAGATTCTCAGACCACCCCTCTCTCTCTCTCTGCTCGTCTGTTTACGTCTACCTTGTGTGCAAGCAGGAAGGAGGAAACACCTCGCAGCCCCGCTCGACGGGGGCCGGGCCGGCCAAGAAAGCGGAAACCCACCCTCACCACAGGGCCAGTGTCCTCATCCGAGGGCCAAAGAAAAGTCAAGTGAGTATCACTCAGCCCATCTATGCTGACTGGCCATAGTCCAAAGTTGCCTGATAAGCCCCTCTGTTTCGCTGACATACAGGGGCATCCTCTCATTGGCAAGAACAGGAAATGGGAGAACACACAGCTGAACCTTTCAAGGAAGTCTTCTTGAACCCTTTCAGATCTAATGAACACTGGCATTAATTGTTTAACGGCATAATGAGTGTCAGTTGTCCCTGAGTCTGCTTGCACAGAATATTTATGTGTGCTTGATATATGAACTGCACCTACCTAGAAAACTGCTCAATGGTCTTATCAGGCTTCAACAACACTGAGCTTAAACCTCAGTGGCATTACTGTCTGTTGGGGTTTGGGGGGAACTGGCTGTTGGCCGGGGGTCAGGAGGGTGACAGGCAGAGCATGAATTTAGAGCACTGCAAATTCTCCTGTAATCTGTCCCAGCAGGGAGGATGTGACACACCACTGCCATTACAGCCTCACAGGGTCTCCGAGGGTCCAAAGGATGGTCAGACTCAGGGAATGTAAATAGAGAGGGAGAAAGATAATGCAGGATACAGATTAGAGGGTGTTCAAGAAACTGGGACCATACATTTAAAACTTAAAGCAGGGGGTCCTGGGCAGTTTGGTGGAGGAAGGGGGAGGAAGGCAGTTTGGTGGAGGAAGGGGTTCCTTTCAGGCTTCAATTAGGCTTGTCATCGGGGTTTGGAAGGGCTTAGAGTACTAAATGTCACCTCGCAGTGTTCCCCCGTCTGCCATCTACTCTTCTCCATCCTTTTCTCGCTGTGGTTTCTGGGCAACAGTCCATCGTGTTCCCAGCTGCCTCTCTGCGTTGTCACCTCTACTCTCCTTCCACCCATGTGCCCCTGCCCCCCTCGCCGGGCCATTACTGATCAGACTGGGGACGCTGATGCTGGGTGACAATGACACCCGAATGAAAGGGTAACAGGCCGGGGCCCTGCAGCGAAAGCATTGAGGGTGGGTAGGTAGGGCCAACATGGGGGCTGTGTGGTCCTCTGCAGGGTACTGGACAATAAACCGCAGAAAATATTTCTGCAGAAATTTGAGCAACAGTCCAATCACTTCGTGGAGGCAGCCTGGTGTTCACCCTTTTGTTTCTGCGCAGGCGTGCGTGTGTGTGTGTGTGTAAAATGCAGCAGAGAATGACATGACACGTCTGTAAAAGGAACATGCAGACTTGGGACTGATTAGCCCACAAGTTGTGTTACATGGCCGGGTTACGTAAAAGCCTGTGCCCCACCTGCCACTCATGCCACTACAAGATGCTTACGCCATGATGGAGGGCAGTAGGTCAGTGGGTGACAGCCCGGCCTTTTAGAATCTCCCTCCTGTAAGTGTGTGTGTGTGTGTGTGTGTGTGTGTGTGTGTGTGTGTGTGTGTGTGTGTGTGTGTGTGTTTGCTAGTGTCTTAGTGGATAACAAATCCAATCCTGCCTAAGCATTGTATGCATCTGAGTTATTAGGTATGGATGCAGCCGTGCTCATGAGCATTCGTGCAGGCATTGTTTGATTTTCCTCCTGCATCTGTGCAGCGGAGAGGGTTGCTGCTAAACCAGAATACCCTGCTAGTTAATTCTGTTTAATTAGTCACTGTACGCTCTGCCCCATCGGCCCCCGAACGAGGGGGGGGGGGGGACTCTGTCTCATTGGGTTTGTCAGCAGCGCAATGCGAGCCGTGACGGGATCTGCCTCACAGGGACAACTCACACTCCACTGCCACCTCCGTCACTCTCCTGTCAGTCAGTGGGCAGACAGTCCCGCTGCCCGACAATCGCCTTCATTCTGTTACAGATGCACGCTGACACTCACTTGATTGTGAGATTTACACACAAACAAAGCCTGCATACAAAAAAAAAGAGAAGCGCACACATTTGATCGCAGACAATGAAATGTGGTCGAACGTGGCAACAAAGGACTAACATGACACATTGAAGCTGCATATTCATCTACTTTTCATTTACCAAGCTTATTCCGTAAAGCGATATCGAGGCTGCACGCACAGAAGAGGGGAAGTTAATCTTTTGTTTGAGCATGGATGGCCTGGCTCATGTCGGTGTGGTCCATGGGCACACTTCCAGAGGGAAAAGCAAGGGCATTTGGAGTGGTTGGCCTGTGATCAGGAATCAGGAATCAGGAAACATTTATTTGCCAAAATATGCCAAACATACAAAGAATTTGTCTTGCCGGTTAGTGCGCGACAGTAGACAGACAAGACAGCAGTGCACAAGTAATACAATAAAGTAGAATGAAATGCTAATGCAATGGGTTAGTAGCGATGCTGCTCTGTGTAGGGGAAAGAGTGCGCCTCAGCGATGTGAAAATGCAACTGGACAGCTACGATATTCACTGAGAACAATAGAGCAGCATACAAGTGCAATGCCTTCCAACCGCTCAGTGCATTTTTCAAAGCCATGCGGCGCTTCAGAGGCTGCACAGACACTCCCCAGATGAAGCATTAAGGCATCTTATGCCATACCGCCCTCAAAAAATCCCAGGTTCCTTGTTAGATACCGAGTGTGTTTCAGTCACTGGACTCTCTGTGTCCTTTTTTTAAAAATCATTCTGTTCATCAGACATATTGGATCTAACAGAGAGGTGACTTAACTCCCCTGTGATGTGCTACTCCGTTTTATTCTTTCAAACCACTGCCCTTCTTCTCTAATGAATGCCTCTCCCTTCTTTGGACGGGCAGGTCGATGGGGGCGGGGCTCGCTCTGTCGCCGGAGGACCTTGGAGGGGGCGGTGACAGCCAGAGAAGGAAGAAGAGGCTGTCCAGTCGAGGCTTTGAGCGGCTCAGCAGCACACAGGTCAGGGTCCCCTTGCACTCCTCCCTTTTGTCCTCTACGCATCTACAAATGAAAGAGGCCACTCTTTGGGTTTTGATATATTCCTTTGTTGCACACTATTTCTAATTAGGTTCTACCCTCAGGAGTCGAATCCACTGGTCTCCATATTAATATATTTTTCATTGGGGCTTTAACTGTTCCTTTTTCTTCTCTGTGTGTGAACAAATGAGAGCGCTCTCCCTCCGACGTTCTGATGCTTTTGCGGTTGCTGTGAACCGGGAGCGTAACTGGCTCCCTCTGGCTCTCTCATCTCCAGCAGATAAAAGCGCAGGGCTGCAGAAAAAGCAGTCTTCACAGCCTTCTCAGCTCCAAGCTGGCCGACGATGTGACTCAGCTCAAACAGAAAGCCCACAGTAGAAAGATTCTCTCAGGGAACGGCTCCAGGGACAAGGAGGTTTCGCCTTGCAGCTCAAAGTCAAAGCATGGACACAGAATCCAGAGCACAAGCAGAGCCGAGTCCAGGCGAGAGTCTGGGGGACAAAGTGACACAGGTAGGGACTGGATACCACAGCATTTTTTTATACCTTTTGTTTTTTTCTTTATTTAGCATAGATAGCAATACCTGATCCAATACCAATGTTTGATCAACAAGCTGCATACCTCACTGTGTGTAAATTACTGGGATCATCTTTTATGTGTGTGGCAACATTTGGCTTTCTTAACTTGGTCACCAATGACCCGTTCTGGTTATTGTAGTTTGTATTGGCCTGATATCGGTATTGGTGGTGGTGTAAACCCAAGTTTTTACTTTCATAACTCTCCTAAAATACCATTCTGGACTTAGATTTTTGATGAGTTCTGCACATTTTCTCAGCAGCCAGTGTGGACAGTGGTCCCCAAGAGAGCTGGACTGGACTTGTGCACCGTGGAAGTAAAAAGGGGTCCTCCGCCCTGACACAGGGCTCGTCCCGCCTTAGCCAGCCCAGAGCGAGAGATCACCGCGGTCAGAGACATGACGCAACGGAAGAGGGAGAGAGCTCCCCTGTAGAGAGTGCCTCATCTGATCAAGGTGAGTCAGTGACCGCAGAGAACCACCTATGAGACATACACAGTGATGGGTGACAGCAGCCCACTATGGCTCTTTAGTAACCTACAGTGTCGGTTAATATGAACAGTGCAAACAATTGAATTAAAACATTCTAATGAATTATGTGCTATGTCTATTAGAAGAGGAAGAAGAAGAAGGCAGTTATGACACTGATGAAGGTCGAGACTACCGAGCCCACCTTCCCAGAGAAGTCACCTCTAGCTCCTCCGTGACAGGTCCGAGTCCTTCATCGATTGTAAAACTGGAGGCCAACCAGAAAGCTAGAAATAAAAAACAGAGACAGGAGCTTTATGGTAAGATCGTCCTTTGAAACGGCTTCCTAAGTCAACAAAGCTGCCCGACATCTTCATAAGCACCTGTTTTGTATTTATCGTTCTGGCTTGTCTTTTTCTTTTTTTTCAGGCTCCCAGAGTCTGTCTGGAGCCGAAGGGGAAGTGAAAGTACGGAAGAAGCCCCCTTGCAGTCTGGGCCTGGCCACTGCGGTCAAAAAACGCCGTGAAGATCCCCGGTCGGAAGGGGTGAGAAGGCCATGTGGACCCCGGTCCAAAGAGCCTCGCTGGGGCAGTCTTGGGACCAGAGGCAGCCGCTACCGGAGGAGCTTGGGACTCGCCACCTTCCCGACCACCAGCGAGAGGCTAAAGAGGGCGACCCGCAAGAGCACTATGTTAAGAGGAGCAATCAATAAGGTCAGCAGAAAGTATTTCTTACGTTTTAATACTCTTGCCTGTCATTTACACTCTCCCTGGAATGAATCCTTCATACCTTCAAAAGGACTTAAATCGTGCAAACCATGATTACCTTACTGCACCAACAATGGGACATAACCAGTGCTCGTGATGCCATGTCACACTCTCACTTATCGTTTAAATCCTCATATTGTTTTCAACAGAGGAGAACTTGCTGGTCAGTCGGGGGCCCATCTTCACAGAGTGAGGAGGGCAGCAGGGGACGAAGGAACAATGAGCAGCAGGTACAAGTGAACACAGTGAAGCAATCAATCCTTCATCAGAAAACCACCAAAAAGAATCTAGTTATACAAAGTTTTAGTCTTACTGTCCAAGATTTTAGATTTTATTAAAAGGACTTATCACATCGCACATAGCTCAACCTCCTGCTGAGTAATGTAAAGGGAGGAAAGGGATGAGAGAGAAGATGTGGGATGGGGGTGGCTCACACCTACTGCTGTGACTGAGTGAAGATATGGCTACTGATCGGAGATAGTGCAGGCATTGTGAAGCCCCCTGTGGGTAATTGCTATTTTGAGTAATATACTAAACAATTACTTTTTTTCTTCTTTCACACTTTCCATCTCCACGTTTATTTTCTTATCTACTCTTGCATCCATTTATTCTCCTGTGCACCCCTTCTGTTACGTTTTTCAGCCGAAGGGACGAGCCGTGAGTCGGCTGCTGGAGAGCTTCGCGGCCGATGAGGGCTTCCAGATGGATGGCAGCAGCTTCTCAGAAGAGGAGGACAACAGCCTCTCATACAGCGACAAAAGCCCAGAAGGTCAGAGATACAACTGGACACCTTGTGACTGTGTTTCAAGCAGCCTGTAGTGAAATGCCAAATTTGATGTTGTTCACTTTTTCCATATGCAGTCCCCAACTGTGTCGTCACCAAAGAACTCTTAACCGATGGACTCAAGGTCCTGATCTCCAAGGACGATGAGCTTTTATACGCTGCAAGAGTTCATACGCTGGAACTTCAGGACATGTAAGCACAATGCAGTAGTTCAAGTGGCCCGTGAGGGTGTTTTTCAATACACACGTGTCCTGTATTTAGGATGATATAATTAACAGATATAAGGCCTTTTCACATTTGGATCGGGCCAAAAAAGGTCGCTATGAAAAGGCTCTTGGTCACTCTTGGTCTTTCAAATTACAGTGACACATCCTTACAGACATCAGCGCAGCACAAAAGAAATCATTCATGCATGGTTTATTGCATCTCTGAGTATCAATACGGCCACTCCAGCGCAGGCAGCAAAAAGACGCTTTAACAGCAAGTGGGAGTAACACATGATATGGGAGCCAGGCAAGCATAATACCGGCATCTGAAGAATCTTTTCATGTCTTTGCTCTGCTTTTTTCTCTAGCTTTAGCATTGTTATCCACGGTGAAAGAGGAAACCGACCAAGAATCTATTCATTGGAGCAGCTGCTACAGGAAGCTGTAAGTTCACCTCACTGCACTTAAAAAAAAAACATCAGTTGTTTGGTCTTTTCAACACTTATATTTCTCTTAAATATCATTCTCACCCTCTGCAACTCTCCATGGCCTTCCAGACCTTCTTTAGCTCTGCCAGTTCTTTCCTTTTTTCTCTTCAAACATCCCTTGAATGTCTCTCAGGGTCACTGAGGCAATTTAAACCGCCCTAAATACAAATGACATAGGGAAGGCCGGAACTTGGTGTGGGTTGGTGTGTGTGTGTGTGTGTGTGTGTGTGTGTGTGTGTGTGTGTGTGTGTGTGAGTGTCAGTGGATATCCGTTAAACCCAGCTCTGGCTGTAGGTGGGATAATAACAAAAAAACAAAACAAAAGAAAATTACTTGATTAATCGCATGATTTTCTGTGATTAACAGCAATTAATCACATTATGTGAAAATTCAATAATATATAAAAAAAATAGTTTACTGCACACTTTTATTTTAAAGTAATGTTATCAGAACAATATAAGAGGCACTCTTGGAGCAACAGCAAGTTAACGTACAGTATATTAATCTATTTTCTTTTTTTCTGAATAGATACGAGAAGAAACATTATTACATTTGATCAGGGAGCAGCATAAACAGTTTATGTTCAGCAGTAAGGGTCCCGGTTTGAGTGAGGTGGTCTAGCACAAAAAAAGGACTTTATATGGATTTACTTTGAATCTCAGTCAAAGAAAAAAACACTTTCAGTAGAGAAGGTTGAGCAGTTACCCAATGACAAGATTAACTTTTAACGTTTTTTTATCCATTTCTCAAACTTTTTTTATTCCTCTGCACCAAGCCTGTTGACACACAAGGTCATTTACGTTTTCGGATGATAAAGAACCTCTATTCTTCTGAACGATATGACCAGCAAGAGATAACCACCTTTCACCGGGTACAGATGTTGTACTTCAGACTGCTGTGTGAGTCAAGTCTCAACAGTTGGTGCAGCCGTCACTCCGTTTCATACAACTCGTGTATTCTCGTTACGGCGTTGCGTGTTGGGGGAGGCTCGTAGCGTAAAGGACGCTTTATTATTCTTGCGTTGGTTTGTCGACAGTTCTCGCGCACAACGTTTTCTCCAACGTAGTATGCCAGTGGAGTCTGGTACTGGTTGTTTGGGTATGTAGTCGGCTGACATTGATACTGTGTGACGCTTTAGTGGTACTTCAGGCTCGTAATACTTCAGGCCCGTAGTGCTCCGGTGATAAGCGACTTCCGGTTTGCAGGCTACAAATAGCTTTGCTTTTATCGACAACGCCGTCTGGTTGAGATTTCAAAGAAAATGTCCATTTTAAAATGTAGTACCTTGCTCCATTTCCTTGGTTAATGTGCACACTGTTAAGCAGTCCCTACCCTCCCAATGCTAAAAAAAGCACACATTTATAACTCGTTAACGTGCCCAGCTCTAATAATAACACTAATACCTGTATCCTTTCACTTCTTCAAGTTTAAATGGAATATGGCGTGAACTTAACATCCCCCTCCTCTAGTTGTTCAAAGGCTTAGACCACTGACAGTCCGGGGTTCATGAAAAGAAGCCATCAGCTGATTCAAAGGTGTCCACATTATAAGCGTGCATCCATACTATAAACCGCAGCACATTCATGGCTGGTGATCCTTTGCATTTATGTAATATGTGCTTCGTGCTGTGCTCTGCATATAGAATGGAGTTTTTGATGTTTACTGCAGCGGGTCACCATCCTATTTTTTTCCCGGAGAGACTGCTATAACAACAATAACAACAGCTAGTTCAGCTAAAGAAAAGCCACCACATCTTCTCCAACTGTGAAAATAAGTCTTCACTGTTGCCAAACAAGGCACAAGATGTTGTGTTTGCACTTAAATGTTCAGAGATGATGACATGATTAGCAGACTAGAGTGTTACAGGTACGGTGGGGCCTTGGATTAATGGATGTGCATCAATCCATAACGGGAAAGAAGCAGCTTTTGAAAAGCCTTTGTTATCATCGGGAAACATTTATTGCCAAAATATGTCAAACATACAAGGAATTTGTCTTGGCGGTTGGTGCGTGACAGATCATAAATCACCTGAAGTTACGAGTGATAGTAGTGATTATCAGTATACAAGTTACAGATTAAGTATTCAGCATGTTTAGAAATTGGCTATAAAACAACTTAATTGGCATACATTACAAATGACAGTTACTGACCACAACCTTCAAGTATGAAACCTTGTCTTTAAAGCTAGCTGAGATGTCCAACACAGGTGTATAGTATTCGATCACTTTTTTTTTGTACATCTAAGAGCAACATGTTGTTGTTTCTATCCTTCTATTAGCCATGTGTTACTATAGCATTGAACTCTCCACAGGAGAAGTGTTCACCAAGTTCCTGCATTTTTGCAGTGGAAGATCACAAAAACCTTTGTCCATTTAATATTAGATCGCTTGTCACCTCCTTCCTCTAATCCATATTAGCCCACTCATTCTCCCGTTAGTGCTACATGGAGCTCGTCTGGCAACTTTTCCCTTTTTAAACACTGATCAAATAACAGCTGGTCCTTTTCATGCCAGACATCAACTATCTTGTCTTTAAATTAGTCCCATAGCCATTTATTTGACTTTGACACCAACTCCCAGATTTTCACCATGGTCCAACTACCACCCACATGCACACCCACATCCACACCCACATCCACACCTCATCAGTCAAAGGGTCCCTCGCCATGGCAACAGTAAATGAAAGCGACCTGAAAGAGCCCCCAGTGAGTGGCGGATGCTGGGGCTGCCTTCATTGTTGGAGGGAGGATCTGGCAACCTGCAATCACAAGCCCTCTATTCAGGCCCTCTTTAGTATTACTCAGCAAGTCAGGATTTACTGCATCATGGCTTCCGTTCTTTTCAGCCCTGACTGGCACATTGGCATGAGATAAGTGCCGCTTGGAAATGTGGCACAGTGGCTGCCCGTGCACAATGCTCAACGGCTCTCACACAGTCTTTCTGTATGTCTCTGAGCGTGTGTGTGCATGCATGTCTGCGCGTGTGAGCAGCCTGCAATGAATCTTAATCATGTTTTTGTCTGGCCTTCAGGTCCTGGATGTACGGCCAGAGTCAGAGACTATGCTTAATGAAGGAACCAGGGTGTGTGCTTACTGGAGCGAACGCTCGCGCTGCTTATACCCGGGCTACGTTCGCAGAGGTGAGACAGCCGCTTTCTCTGTACCCTCTTTTCAGTAATGACTGACTGACCTCTGTATGTTTGTCTACTTATTTAATCATCATCAATTTTTTTATTTTTTTTATTTGGTAATATTCTTGCTCAACTAAAGAAGTGATTTTTTGTCTATTTGAGGTGGTTCATCTGATGAGGGGAAGCAAGGAGGAGTGATGATAGAGTTTGATGATGGAGACAGAGGGAAGATTTCTCTCTCAAACATCCGCCTCCTGCCTCCAGGATACCAGATTCACTGTGAGTGTCTTCTCTCTTTGTAACTGGAAATCTTTCCTTTCATGTTGCACCGTTTCTTTAACTTGTAAGTTAAGTGCTAATACTCATCTGCCCCTCGTCATTAGGTGGGGAGCGGTCTCCTGCGCTGCTGATACCCACCGAGGCCACAGTTAAGAGAGGTTCTAGTCTGGAGCAGGCTCCTCTCAATGACAGGCCTGCTGAAAGATACAACATTATCAATACTTTAACTAATAGCCAAACTCCACCTCTTCACAAAAGAAGACCAGGTAAGAATTAACCTCAGAAACTGTTCATTTCATCTTTTATTACCTCGAAGCTGTAAAGCTAAGAATCACACAAAATACATCCTTAAAAAGAATTCTTACCGTGAGCTACGTATTGAAACAAAAAGGTTTTTATAGCCGTACCATTACATCAAATTAGTCATTTTATAGATTTTTTAGGGGATTTAAGTTTTCTCTGAATACAATGGGTTCATGCACAGAATTTAAAATGAGCTTTGTTGGTGGGTTTGTAGACCGCTTAGTTATTCCCAACAACACAATAGCCTTGCAAAAGATTTACACACCTTTTGACACAATGACTACATTAACTTGTACAATAGCCGGTCTTACAAGTGGATCAAATAAACTGGCCAGCGCTCAGCATGTGCAAATAAGACATATTTCAAAATTTGCCTTGTATTGCTAAAATAACATGACATGTATTTTGTATATTCTAGGGAGACCAAAGGGTTCTGGTAAAAAACAAAAGCAGCAGGAACTGCAGGCTGAGAAGGCCAATAAAAATCCTTCACCTTTTCTGGGTTGGCCTTCGTTGAGCAACAACAGGAAGAGGTCGTCTGACAACCTGTTTGAGCTCAATGGGGCACCCAGGAAGGCCTTAAGAGGCAAGGAGGATGTCCTGTTCCCCTTGGCGAAGAACCAGCCAATGGCTTCCACCCCGGCCAAAGGACTTTTCAGCAGCAGCTCGTTTGAGGTGGACTCCTTCAGCAGCATTGCAAATGGCTACTCCTCCTTCTGCACTCAGTCCACAGGGCCGAATCAAGGTTTATCTCTAGTTGCCAGAAGCGGGACATATGGCCAGAGGCGCAGGCAAGATGAGCTTGTTGGTCCGAGAAGCAGGAAGTCTGGACAAGAGTTCCTAGTCAAGTTAGACCATGAGGGAGTAACGTCCCCCAAGACAAAGAACAGCAAGGCTCTACTGTTGCGAGGCGGCTCTTCCATTGTGAGTGGCATGCCAAGGACAGAGGCCTACTCTCATCCAGTCCTGCTGGTTAAAGACAACAAAAAGGGGGGTACCTCCAGAGTAGAACTTCTTCGGAAAGGAACCACACCCCAAAGGAAGCCCTCCTATTCTCTGCGTCTGGATGAATATGGCGACTCAGGCTTCAGTGCCCACCGAGACTGTCACAGCTCCTACTCTGATCTGGATGATGAAGAGGAAGGGAGGAGGAGGGCTGCACTGGCTGCAGCCTCAGGAGGTCTAAGGACGGCTGGCCGCTTCCTTTCTCGTCTCTCCGTGTCCTCCTCGTCTTCTGGTTCCTCAAGCTCCTCCTCTTCAGGGTCTATCTCCAGTTCCAGCTTGTGCTCCTCAGATAACGACTCCTCTTACAGCTCAGAGGATGAGGAGAGTTCTACGGTAATGCTTCAGAGTTGTATGTCTTCCCACCGAGGCCTCCTGCAACCTTCTGAACCTTCCACGTCTTCAAGGTCACACCAGCACTCATTTGTGGCCAAAGCTGTGGCTGTTTCCAATGCCAAAGGAGATCCCTCCAAGCAGATCTCCAACAGCAAGTCCTTAAAGAGGAAGGAATGCTCCAGTTCCACCTCTAAACCATCCAAGGATTTTGTGAAGAAACCCAGGATGCTCACCGATGACCCCTCATTTATTCCAAGGCCTAAGATGTCTGCATTCATTGCAGGACGTCAAATGTGGAAGTGGTCAGGAAATCCCACACAGGTAAGAATCAACTAAATGTTTCTAATCTGGAATTTTCTTTCGGAAGCAAGAGGACAATGGAGACAATAACAATAATAATCCTCATATTAATCTTTATCAAATAAGATCGCTAAATTTATTTTATTTTCCCCAGCGGCGAGGTCTTAAAGGGAAGGCCAGGAAGCTTTTTTATAAAGCCATCGTGCGAGGCAGAGACACGGTGAAAGTGGGGGATTGTGCAGTGTTCCTTTCAGCTGGACGTCCTAACCTCCCATACGTAGGTCAAATTGAGAACTTCTGGGAATCCTGGACCTCCAGTATGGTGGTCAAAGTAAAGTGGTTCTACCACCCTGAGGAGACCAAGCTTGGCAAGAGGCATCGAGATGGAAAGGTAAGTCTTTAAGGAGCTTACGATTTCATGGGGACTGTTGGTCATTTGTAGCATAATGGAACTTTCCAATGCGAATCATTTGCGTTTGGTTTCTAAAAATAATGATGCAACATATCCCATCTTTTTCCTATCCAGCATGCCCTTTACCAGTCGTGTCATGAGGATGAGAATGACGTTCAGACAATCTCTCATAAGTGCCAGGTGGTGAGCAGGGAGGAGTATGAGTGTCTGACTCGCAATCAGAAGCCGAACAGTACCTCCCCAAACCTCTACTACCTGGCTGGGACGTACGACCCCGCCGCTGGTCAATTGGTCACTACGGAAGGGGTTTCCATCTTGTGCTGAACCTCCATGAGGACACTACTGAAGGACTCCTTTGGAGGAAGGATAAAAGTCTGTTATTTTACCTACAAAACCCTGCAGCCAAGGAAGATACAAAGTGCACCTTGGGTGTACCTCAAGGATCCGTGGACTAAACGTCAGCACCAAAGCAGGGCTGTCTGAGGTTACACACTGGAGTCTACTGGCACCTAACCTTTGTGGAATTTAAGGAGATGTCAATTAACTGGTTGATCCTTTCAAAAGGAATGGAAGAAACTCTGGGTCGTCACAATATCAAACTAATCTCCTTTTAATGGATCCATAAGATTGACAGCTTCATAAATGCTTTTAGGACTCGCGTCTCTCGTTCCTATCACATGTCACCAAAGGAGAGCTGAGAGTTGTTTGGACTTCAAAGTCCTATGGATAGGTTCTGCGGACCAATTCTTTAGCCCTGCATAAGGGAATGGAAACAAAAGTGAGGCATGGGGTCTATAGACCTCTTCATTCCAGGAAAGTAAAAACATGTAAACGATGTAAAGTTGATGTCTGTAAATATTTTGAATTTGTCCCAATCAAGCCATACACTTCAGTACCTCTATCCTGTCTGTTCAGGTGTACATTGTACAGGTCAATTATTGTATTGTGGTCTGTTGTCTATATGTACATAAAAGCTATTTTATATAGGAGTTTATTGTATATATGAGATGTATCTTTCCATGTTTGCAATTGATTTATTTTTATATGGGTGTAGAATACATTACGTCGTTTTACCTTTGCTTTGGGAAGTCAGGATGATGGAGATGTTAGTGTTGCACTGCATATGCCCTGCTGAGACATACGGAGACAGACAGACAGAGCACAAAGAAAGAAAGGAGGATTAATCTATACGTTTATAACAGAAGACTCACTTTCTGAGAGAGAGGAGTCACGTGGCTTTTTGTAAAAGTGTTCTGTTACGTTGCATTAGTGTTGTCCTATTTTAAAAACACATTTTTATTTATGTACCTCTCAGTTGGTTATCATCACAAGGCAGATCTTCACTGGACTGCAATCACGGGTCAAAAATCATTTAAGTATAAGTATGACCTATTGACACAATATTTGTGTGTGATGAGTGTCCTGGCATCACTATAATCATGTCCAAACAAATCAATTTAGAACAGGACTGGATGTGAAAATGAGTTAAAATGACTACATAGTCCCACACTACGATCCACAATATACCAAAGTGTCTTTTATCCTCTTTATTTCCTTCATTTAAATCTAACACGTGTCAAGCACCTGTACTGAACTCAAATCAGACATCACTGGTAACTTATTGAACACATGTCCTCCACTATGTGCATACACACCCGTTTAGCATTGCGACAATGGTATCTTGCACATGTACCTGCAGTTTTGTGTTGTGCAAACATATGCGGAAAATGGTCACCTATGGACGTGACTATGAAGGTGAAGGTACTGGCAAAGTAAGATATTGATTCCTGAAGATTTGTTGGAATTAGTCTGTTGTAGTTTCATCAGCCTTCTGTGTCTATTTAGTACAGGACATGCACATACTCAATGCTAACTGTGAAGGACAATCACATTCACAAATTAATGGACATAGAGTAGGTTCTCTCAATCTGAAAATTACTTACATTTATTTAATTTGTGCCAAGTACATTTTGTCTATTTTTTTGTCTTGTTTGATATGCAATCCTTATTTTTTGTTCACAACGTTGTATTTTGTTTGCCAACATTTTATTTATTGTCAATGTTGCTGTTTGTTCATGCCAAGAGCGCTTTATAAGAATGTGACATTGTTTTTCTTGGTGTGATGTCGCATTTGCATTTCTTAAAAAAAACTGGCCTTGTAGAGGCCATCTAGTGAAAAGAAATAAAGCAACACTGGATTCTTCTCATCTGCAAACTCTGTGAATTAATTCTATTATGCTCGCAATCCGCTACATCCTACTGAATCAGCCATTTGATTGATACATTTATGGTCTTTGTAACGAATCATATTCTGTCTTTGAAAGACGGAATATATTTAATTTTCTCATCCAAATGGGACATCAACACAATTATATACCAAAGAGGTGATGTTTTAAGAATATCATTTTTTTATTTTTATATATGAGTTTACAGATGTTACCTAAAACAGAACTAGTTAAGTCATTTGACCTTGAAAATCACACGGTAAATGGAGAATGATGATAAACTGTGGCCATGGCAGCTGATCCCTTTTTTGTGTTATGTACATCACATACATCATATGATTTATGTGCTCGGCTCTGTCTTTTATAGTGGGGAGTATTAATGGACTTCCCTTAGAATTTGGAGACTCTCTGGATTAATTTGTTAAGCATCCCACGCATGAGGCCCTTTTTTTTGCCCAAATCGTTTTATTTATTACAATAAATCCTTTGATGTAAGTGCCTAGGCTAAACTAAGTTCATTGTGAGCTATGAGTTGCCTGAAAAATGGAGGCAAATCTTTCACAGCATCAATTAAAGCGTACTGGGTTTAACTGCCAAGCTCTGCAAATATGATGTGGACCAATCAGGGATAGATGGGATTGTGATTCAAGATAAATTTAATTTTAATTTTAATTTCATTTAATTTCCTTCCTTTTTTCTTTTGAAAATAATACGTTCCATCTTTGGTTTTTGTTTCCGAGGGGTGGCTAACTAAAGCTAACTAAAATTAAATTTTTCTCCCAAGACCTTTGTAAATTTGTATACATAAATGCATCATAAATTCACATCTCTTAAATGAAAAAAATATGTAAAGGAGGACACTCTAGTGGAAGTCAAAGAACACCACATTACACACCATGAACCTTAATTTAGCCAGCAGCAACATGAGAGAGCAGAGCAGCAGGTAAGTTCCACTTTCCCACAACATCACCCTTAATTGTCAGCATGAAGACCTTTGCATACTCATCAGTTGTAACAAAGCCAATCTCTGTACCCCGAATCAGTGAGACCACCACCGGCTGGGCAAAAAGTTGACTTGACCACGTGTATGGGTCAGTGAACTTTTTTTTTTGTCCTCCATGGAGCCTGACTGCCGCCACCCTTCCCCCTAATGCCCAGACAGGGGCTAATCGGCACATCAGTCATCTCCAACAGCGGCACATTGATTATAAACAGCTCTGTTTACCAGCCCAACCTTTTGTGTTGTCTGTGGCCACATCCTCGTGGCTGGACCAAGGTCCTTCCTGCATTATCAGCGTTGGGGAAGGTGGGATTCTCGTCACTGCGGGAGTTGAAGAATGGGTTAAGAGTGGGTGTGTGCGGGTCTCAAGGGTCTCATCCTTTGACAGGGTTTTGCTTCACCATCATTTGTCGCTTCATGTGCTAAGATAAAGGCGGACAATGGAGTCTTCAACAGGCATCCAGTAGGCACGATTTAGGTTGATGTTTTTTGAAAAATTGCCCTCTTTAAGCCAACCAAATGCTCAGGGAAAATAAGGTCACAACAAGTCACTGCACGAAGGTTGTCCATCCATTTCCTCATTTGAACCGTATTTTAAAGTCTGTGAAAAACTAAACTTAAAGTATTATGATTCCTCTCACTCGAGTGGCCTGTCTGCCTGCCTCACTTTTCAGTGGGGGTCTGGTTCAGCTCGCTCAGCATCCAGACTGTGTAGCTCAGTGTCAACAGGAGGAATGCTTTCCTGCACAAATATCTGCACCTCATAAATGTCTCGCCCTCTGCTCGACCCTGTCTGGCCTCTGACTGTGAGGGGGTTGAACAGGGGACAGGCAACCTGGTTTGTGCATGTGTGTGTTTGGGCTCGTGTGTGTGTGTGTGTGTGTTGAAGGAGGGTTGAGGTGAGGGCTCGGGTCTTAACAAGGTGCTGGGAAAAGAGAGCCGGACAAACAGAACATTCACAGAGACATGAGCCGCTCCAACAAGCTAACTGTTATGTCGGTTATTGCAAGTATCTACTACTACATGAAAAATGTTGGAAAGGTATATGGTAAAGGAAGTAAAATACGTGTATAGTCCACAATATACATTTTATAAATTGTTTTCTAATAGAGGCTATGTCGTGCCAGTTGGTTGCACGCAATATTAGTACTAAAGTAAAATATTAAAGATTAAATGTGAACATTTAATCAATGCAATTGTACTGCCCCATGGTTGTTGATTAGTAAAGATCCAAGGAATGGTTTAAACCAAGTGTAGATTAGCAGAAGAAAAGTACAGGATCTGGAGCGTTTAAACCAAGATTATGTCAAAATAAATTCAGAAAACGTTATAGAGTATGTTGAATAAAGTTGTATTTTATGTAAATAACTCATATAGTATGACTTTATATACTGAAAGAAATCGGAAATGTTGAAAAAAGTAATTAGAAGTCAAGCTATTGATAGTGGATGTTTCTTTTTTTTCTTAATAAAAATCCATAACATAGTATTTAGAAAACACTTCATTTTAATTGTTTGAAAGAAGTCACAGTATAATGTATTATATGTAAAAACATCCTAGCAAAGTATGTCAAAAAAGTTGGCAATGTGCCATCGTAGAGCTCAACAGCTACGGATGCAACGGCCGTTCTCAGGAAGCATGCGGTTAAATCTGCATTGCCCGGTTTATAGTCTGCGACTGCTGTTATCTAAATCAAACTGTCCCGACGTGTGAATATGCATAACTGTATGTCATGCAAAGATATGCCCTTGTAAAACGTTTATTGTAACAGAACAATCATACTAGTAGCTAAAAAGGTGTCAGTAGCGGCATCCTTATTCTCCAAATCCACATTTCGATTTGAAGGGGACGGTCCAGTTATGGCAATATTTTCATCCTCACTGACGGCCGTCCCATTGTTACACGATGAGCTTTATTAGTTGGATCAACCGATCATTGGTTTTGTGTCATTTGTGTTTCCAAGAAGCCACGCAGGTGGCATATATATTGGCAAGTGGTATATTTTTTTGGACTAAGCCACACAATATGGTCAAGTTTATTTAATAAAAAAAACTTATTTCAACAGTCAATTTTATACAAAGTGTCTCCACTTGCCAAATCGTGATTACAGCTGCTAGAGTGCACCTTTTCAAAAATAACCTTTTTGAAAGAAATTCAAGTTCTTCTGAGAGATAACAAACCTTTCGTCAGGTGCTGGAAAACCCATTTTTGGCAGGCATTTTCTAACTGATCGGTTGGATGTATTAATGCAGAGATATTATACTGTCAAGCATTCACACTTCCTTGATTAGAATAACTTTAATGCACTGAGTGAGAACTTTCTATCAACTGCTGAAGCTGCCAAGAGATTGGAGAGTAATGACAAAATGGAGCTGACCAAAATATCTGCAAATACAGAAATTTATTTTGAAACGTTGAACTCATGCTATAGCTTTTAATAGAGTAAAGAAAGAGGAAAGAGAAACAAATAGGGGTATACACCTTTAAACGTATACAAGCGATACAATTGACATAAAACTACCTCTGTATTTCTTTTAAAATGTAAAATGTGTACCTACACCCCCTAAAAGGGATACGTTGGACTGATACACCTGTGTTGAATAGACACAATAGCCAACTCACAGCCGAACCACTAACTGTGCTGCGTGTGTGCTGCCCGTGGTGGCCCGTACACATCCATGCCCCCCTAATCCATGTCTCTGTCGCTTATTAGAAGTGGCTTGTAAAGATTGTGTATCGGCTATGGAGAAAGAGCTTTTCCCAGTATTACACAGGATTACTGTTGCTCCTCGCTGCATATGTTGCTCACAAACTGATGTAGTATTCCCATCCTGTTTACATAGCGCAGACAAAATAACAAATGCATGACTAATTGTTAGACCACGGGTTAAACGGTGTCACGTCACCTTTTTATCTTTCCACCTGTTATCTGACGCCGGCGTTAAAGATATAGATAAAGAAATAAATATACTTATGCGTATACTTGATGGGGGTCATTGCTCAACAAAATGTTTCGTTATAATAAGGCAGGGAGAGTGGTTAGTGGCACTGTGAGCGCCATGTTAACTCTGACTTTATATTATTATATAATACATTATTACTTTATACATTATACTTACAGGAAATTGAGTTTAACCCAACATGTATGTATTTATTCCTGTGTCCAAACCAATAATGTGCCAGCAGCCACAGTGATGTCCACAGTACTCGACTGACCCAACGTCAGCAAGACGTGCAGTCGGTCAGGTAAGGGGCACCGTGGGAAATGGTTGCTTTGGCTCCTGAATGACAAACAAAGGCCTTTGGCGATCTGCAACCTGCTCGATTAATCAGTTGCACCCAAAATCGGATTAAATTGAAGCACGCGGTTGATTGGCTCGTGTTCGAATTTCCAATGTGAGAAAGTGGGATCGTTCTTCATGTCAGCGAGTATGAATCTCTGACCATACCTGACCTTGACTACCTCGAGTATTTCACCGTGCGGTGTTTGTGCATTCCGCTGTCGACATGTCTCTCCATCTAGTTCTCTGGGGGTGTTTACCCCCTTTTTTTCGCAGCAGCAGGGAAGCAGCTCCCGCCATCCCATCTCTGTTTACACTGCTCTTCTCCTCTATTTACTCTGCGCTCCAGCGCCCGGGCGCTCGGCGCTCCAAACAGCTGCTCCATAATGGGAAGAGCAGGCGCGTCAACCACACAGTGACGACCCACTGCGGTCGCTGCCACGATGACTGCCTGGCTCCGCTGGCACGCCCCGCCATTGTTGCCCTAAAGCTCAGCCTCAGTCGATGCCAAACGGTGCTTCTGGGCATCGAGTCAGCCCGGGGCAAACTGTCGGGAGTTTTGTCTTCAAACGGCAAAACAAATTTGAAAAGTTCTGCTCTAAATAAGCGTCACTGTACGGGATACATTTTCTGCTGTGATTTTCTTTTTAAACAAGCAACCACATCCAGATGGTCTAGAATAAACTGCGACAAACATTTTTTTCACAGA